TCAACAGCCGGTAGTTGTGTGGGGAGAAGAGGACAGGACGGAGCGTGAGCCGAGCAGGCCACCATTCAAACTACTTGCTGCTAACCTTTCCCTCCCGAGTGCTTGCTTTTCATGCAAACTCTTTGGTCGGTTTCGTTGTTACCATTGTTGGTGTTGTTTTTTGTTTTTGTTTTATTTTTGTTTTTCCTTCTCGTTGTCCTTGTTTGTGTTTTGTCTTGTTCTTTGAGAAATAGCTTGTGATGAATTAGTTTGTTTTGGTTTTTTTTATTTTTTTATTTTTTTGAGGTGGTGGGTGTGGTCGACAGGACACCCCGACATGAAAATGGGAAGCAAAAGTCAGCACTGCCAAATATGGTATATGAAAGTGGGTACTGCCTTCCCTTCGGATCGGCATTGTCAGGAGTGGATGTTCGGTCGTGTAGGGTTGTGCATGAACGGCAGATGGGGAGATGCTTTTTGTGTTCCTTATGAATGTCCCCAGCTGAGAGTCTGCAGTTTCAAGCTGTTTGTCTCTCGAGCCCTTTGGACATGCTCAGTGGGGCAGAGGCAGTACCTGGGCAGACTGGCAGCAGGGGTTCCAGCAGCTGCCAAACTTTGCCCCAGCCTGCCGAAGCCCCTGCCCTGCCTCCCCCCTTTTAGGACACGGGCCTATCCACAGGCTTCTGAGAAGCCAGCCTGCTAGAGGCTGAACCAGAACCAATTGTTTTCATCCCTGTCTTACTGCCTCCTGTCACCCCGCTGCCATGCCCATGTCTGTCTTTTTTGGCCATCTGCTCCTGGATCTCTTTCTTGAGATGGGCTTCCTAAGGGCTGCAGGGACAGCCCAGTCACAGTATTGCTAACCCAGGACCCTCGGGCCCTTCAGCCGGTCCCCCTGCTGTGGTTTTTCATCAGGTTTCTCCCAGATGTGGAGAGTCAGCTCAGCACCCCATCCCCAGCCTGTATGTTGAGCTCTATAGACCAGGGAGGGGCATCCCTGGGAGGGAACTGCTCAGTGGCCCCCTTCCCAACAAGAAGGGTGTGGCCTGTCATAGCGAAGGTACCATCCTAGGCTGACTCCCAGCTCTTCTCTCAACTCATACACTCGTATGATACTTTGACACTGTTCTTAGCTCAATGAGCATGTTTAGACTTTAACATAAGCTATTTTTCTAACTACAAAGGTTTAAATGAACAAGAGAAGCCTTCTCATTGGAAATTTAGCATTGTAGTGCTTTGAGAGAGAAAGGACTCCTTAAAAAAAGCTGAGATTTATTAAAGAAAAATGTATTTTATGTTATATATAAATATATTATTACTTGTAAATATAAAGACGTTTTATAAGCATCATTATTTATGTATTGTGCAATGTGTATAAACAAAAATAAAGAAAAGATGCACTTTGCTTTAATATAAATGCAAATAACATGCCAAATTAAAAAAGATAAACACAAGATTGGTGTTCTTTTCTATGGGTGTTATCACCTGGCTGAATGTTTTTCTAAAGGAGTTTATGTTCCATTAAACAATTTTTAAAATGTATACTTCATCCCATGTTGTTTAGCTGCTTTTTCTTTTCCTTGGAGGGAGGCTGGGAAGTTTACCAGTGGAGACAACGGCGAATGGGCCTGGGATCTGGAGACCACCTGCCTTATGGGTACCCTTTTGTTTGGTGTGGCTGCAGGTTTCCTCATGGTGCATTGGGAAATGACGGGAGGGAGTCCTCTGCTGAGTGTTTGGAAGTTGGTGGGTTGAGGAGAAAGGGTGTGTCACTGGGAAGATGGGGTTGGTGGCAGAAGAGCAGGTACATCCTCAAGAACCAGGTTCCCTTGGCTCATGCTAATTCTACACTGAGCTAGAGCATCTTTCTCAGTAGAAGGGACTTTGCCAAAATGAATTCCAAGACATTTCCTGGGGATTGGAGCCCCAGGAAGTGATAGAGAATAACTGCCCCACAGTGATCAGAGGGATGAAGTCCCCACCTCCTTCCCTCTCAAGTGATGACTGAATCCAAGCTTCACTTAAGGCTGTCTGCTAGGATCTTCATGATTGATAGGTTCTCAGCCCTGTGGTCCAACTCATCCCTGGGCTGTTGCTGTGAGATGCCTCGTAAGTACTTTACCTGCATAAGCTGAGCTGAGATTTTTGTCCATATTTTAGATTATATTCAACATATATGTATGTATACCACATGCATGTATCATGTCCAAGGAGGTCAGAAGAGGGTCTTAGATTACTCTGGAACTGTGGTTATAGGTAGCTGACATGTGGGTGGGTGCTGAGAACTGAATGTAGGTAGGACCTTTGTGAGGCCAATGCTCTAAACAGACAGATGCACCTCCTCCAGCCTCAATAGTCACCTTAAATACCGAAGACTGGTGGATGCCAGGTGTGGTGTTAACCATGTAGGTCAGTGGTTTTCAACCTATGGGTCATAACTCCTATGGGGGTCACATTGCATATCAGATACTTACATTGTGATTCATAACAGTGCAAAATTAGTTATGAAGTAGCAATGAAGTAATGTTATGGTTGGGGATCACCACAACATGAGGTGCTGTATTAATGGGTTGCAGCATTAGGAAGGATCTGACTGCTATCACTTCCTGGAGTAGGGTAATATATAACTATATAATTTTCCACGGGATTCTGTAAGAATGGAGGTATTGGGAGGCTAAGGGAGTTACCTGGCTAGTGTCATCACTGAGATGTTTACATGATGTAATCCTGTATGGTTATGGTACTATAATTCACTTCTGCCGGCCCGGCTGTGGTAGCAGAGCCTCTGGATTGGGGAGGCAGAAACTGGCTTTTAGATGGAGGCCGGAATTGGGTATGGATTCTAGAGGGGTGGCTGACTGGGTAGGGAGGCTCTCAAGAAGTCTGGCATTAGGTGGAAGCTGATAGTGTGTCCAGGGCTGGGCTGTTGGCATCTGTCACAGGTGTCAGTGTCCTGTCTTCTGGCCTCACTTGAAAGCATGAGCTGGCTTGGAGGTGGGGAGCACAGCAGAGTTGTGTTAGCCTCAATGGAGCCTGAGAATAAGGCTACTTGGTTGGGTTCTGACCTTGCCAGTCAGTGTTCTGACGTTTCACTTGAGAACTGCCCCATACAGTCCGACCTCTCTCAAGCTACACACCATCATCTCCACTGCGCATCAGGCAACTTCTTGAGGTTCCCCCACAGGGAAGGTTAGGTCTAATCTCTGGGTACCGCAGGGTTAGGGTGATCAAGGCAGATGTATGTTTCCCTAAGTTAATTCTGGTTTGAAAGGACAGAACCTGTTTGTCTGACTGCTAAACCCAGTGCCCAGGATTTGCAATGTTTGCTTACACCAAGGACTCTCCCGAGATCATGCCACATCACAGAGGATGCTGGTTGACTTTCCTGACCCAGAAGGTAGGTAAATGGTTTACCTACACCCTTCCTTCCACAGCTTGTACCTGAGGCTGATGTGCACCCAGGTGACACAGCACAGAGGTGACAGAAGGGCTTCTTTGTTGGTCTGTGTGTTCTCAACTTTTCAAAGAAAGCACAAGTTCACTGCTGTTCCAGGTGTTGAAGGCATGTAGGGTATAAGATATGGTAAGAAATAATCTATGGCTCACAGTTGCAGGTTTAGGAATCAAGCACAGTTGGCCTTGAGCACACACTTGGGTGAGTCACCCAACACTTTGGACCATTTCTGAAAAAAAAAAGGGGCATTCTACCTGCCTCATGGGGCCACCATGTAGATTATTGAGAAATGCATGCAAAGAGCTGGCTGAGTCATGTGGGATTGCTAATTTTGATTTATAGATACAGCAGTGTCATTCAGTTAAATCTAGGGACCAATTTGAGGGAGTGGTGATTAAAAGTCCCCAACCATCATCATTCAGCAGACAGGGCTGACGACTGTCCTCAGGGTGGTATGCACAACAAGGGGGCTGAGAAAAGACAGTAAAGGACAGCGGGGAATGGTCAATACTGGGGAGACCCCTTCTGTTTAGGATACCGCCAAACTGTTGAACATAGGCCAGGCAGGAAGCAAGGCCAACAGAAGCCATGGCTTGAAAGCCAGGGTGGCCTGGCTTCAGGCAGTGTGGATGCAGGCTGCACAGGGAGCAGCCTGCACAGTACAGTCCCGGTTTCCTGGCGCTGGAGCAGCAGGCCCAATCTGCCAGCTCAGCACTTTTCCCTCAGCCAGAAGTGCCCCCCTCTCTTTCTGAAAGTAATGATTTTCTAAAAATGGATTCCTTCCCCTCCCCCAGCCGCAATTAATCTACTGAACACAAAGTGGCCGCTGGAGGAGCTTTCTGGTGAGTTCGGACCAGTGCAAGCTCTTTGATTAATTCAGGGATGATTTAGTGATGGGGAGGGGTGAAGAGGGATGGGGAGTGCACACTGCCTCTGTGGGGACAGGCTGAGCCCACTTTGGGATCTAGGTAGTGGCTATCAGACCCACAAAGATGCAACCAGAAGCCTCTTCCTTGTGAGTTCACACCAGCCTTTCTGGGTGTTCGAGAGCCAGGCACACACTCCAGCTTCAGCATCCTTTCATGAACACCAGAAGCTGAAGATGGACCCAGGGCTGCTGTTGTTGTGGAAGCTTTGGAGGAAGGGATACCAGACACATGGAGGGTGCTTCCTTGTTTCTGAGTGTTACAGTAAATGGTGGACTGAGACTTGGAGGTTTCTCTTCTGTGGGCACTTCACTGGCAAGTATGAGCAGCGCTCTGGCCCTGTTGAGCACAGTGATTAAAATTGTCACCAGGTGTCCCAGCCCCTCTTTCTGTCTTAGCATGCTAGATTTTTCTTCCCAGTATTGACACCAAATGTGTCTGTACTGTCTGTACATTTGCCTATTATTTGTTGGTTTGGCTGCTTTTAGACTAATGTAAGCTCCATGATAGTAGGGACTTTGTTCCCCAATATCTAAGTGATCCCCAGCACATAGTAGACACTGCACATTCTGCTTGGATGAATCCACATTCAGTGAAATATTTACCAGGGGTGGGGGTGGGGG